GTCTGTCTGTCTGTCTGTCTGTCTGTGTGTGAGTGTGTATGAAAGATCTGGTATGTTTGTGTGCAGGTAAAGCGAGCCACTGAAGAAGGCATGTATTGGATATTATGGCTTACAGCCGGCACACGCCCATCAGGAGCCAACAGCTAGCCGCCTCACGCCCTCCTGTAGCTGGACCCCCTCCGCCTGAGCTCCATGCGCCTCACACAACATACCTTTTGACTTCATGAAGATCCCTGACATCGGTGATGTAATGAATAAATTTGAAGTCCTTGGGATCGTGGGTGAAGGTGAGCGCTCTCATTTAATGCCGCTGCAGTATGTTACAGTGTGAAAGGCATTTTCTGTACATTTTCAATCTGCAACAGCTTTTCATGTGAGGTAGTACACCCACAAATTTGTTGTAGGGTTTTTCAGTGAGCAATCATTTGATTGTTTATAACCAATTTGCCCGTGGAACAGGGCCGTTAAAAGCCTGATCTGTTGTTCATGATTAGACAAGTCAACTCAAAAAGGTCAAGGACAATTTTTTCAATATTTATTCATCAGGAAGATTTTTAACATGAAAAAACTGAAGGTAGGTACTGTGACCTGAATTCATACTGCTGTGCTGTTACTGAAGAAATGAAGAGGTGGCTTGGATGATTCAGCTTCATTGTTGTAAATATAAATGGGACAGGGTGATTTGATAGTTAAATTCCCCCCGAAATGCTTCTCATGGCTCTTCTTTTTCCTTGAGCCACTTGGTTGATATGAAGTGGCAGAGGCCCTGAGGTGAGGCCACCCACTTGTCCCAGTTTTTACACTCGTACTCCCACATCCTAGAAGTTTTATAATGTGTGTATAATGTGTCTCTAGAAGACACAGGGAAACTTTGAGCTGGATTTTGAAGGCTGAGTGCCTGTCCAAAGATGAGTCGGTCTGGAAGGAAGTCAGCACTTTTAGTTGTAGAAGTTTTCCAGTCCAGCTTTACTTACTGCCTTTGCACTCAATGGCACAGTGCGCTCCACTTGATTCAGCATCATAGATTTTTCCTCAGTGATCTTGAGGTCAGTCAATTTTGTAAACCCTTTAGGACTGAGTGCAGCATGTGGGCTCACCCTAGCAATTAAAAATACACAGAATGTTATGCAATTATGTCCAGTTCTTCATCTAAGGAGGAAAAATGAATGGCAGCGAAATGTGCCTTCAAGTTCATAGCTTTTTGGAATAAATGAAAACCAATAACTGCCTTTAATGTAGGAAGTCAACCGATAAACATTTTTCATTTTTCTTCTTCAGCAGGGATGTCAAGTACATTCAGTTTGTACTTAATGTGTTAAAACATACAAAACCACCTGTCTGATCTGTCATGTTTTTTATGTCATTGGAGTCAAAAGGTGGTAGCGCAACAGCATTTGTTGCACTTGTCTCAACTTCTGTCTTTTAGGTGTCTACATTGTAAATGTAAATACAGAAAACGACTCCTCACAGCACTGATGTGCTCGTGAAGGAGCACAGAGCAGTTCATCATATGCCGGCTCAGTCCAAGAATTCCTCTTGAACCCTCCGGGGATGTGTGTGTGTAACTGCCAGGGTCGATAACATCAGAACTACAGTAGCTTGCCAACACTTGTGTCCTACTTTCTGAGCCACCTGTCCTTTTATAGAGGGGGATGTTTTTCCTTAATTCATGTGTACATATGAGAAGTATTAAAAAGGAGAGGATTTAAAACCAAATCCTGCTGGAATTGTTCATTTTTCAATTGAATTCATGCTGTTTTTTTGTTATTATTTCATGTGGGTCGGCTTTCAAATGCGGTAGCTCGACTTGCAAGGCAAAAGTAGTGTTTGGAACACATGAATATTCATTAAGAGATTAGCTGTGGTGAATCTCTGTTAAACACACTGTTTGCTCTCGTTTTCAGGTGCCTATGGTGTTGTTTTGAAGTGCCGACACAAGGTAAGATCTGATTAATTTCCATGTAATCACTTCAGTCTCTTGTTACTTATTGGTCTTGTCAAACCTTTCCAATCAGCAATTGTTCTTCAAATCCATATCTTGTTATATTTTGTTTTAGGTATTACACCAGAAAGTCAGTTAAGGTTTTAAAGGATAACTACGATGATACTGCTTTTATTATTGTCAACAATACAAACACCTATTAGCAAGTATTGTTTAAAGCCTGAAATTGCTCATTTATCTGTGCCATAGACCTCAATTGTTGACCAAAATCTGTTAAGAACACATCAGTGAACCACAACGTTACACGTGGTGACATGTTCCTTCATTACACTCACTGTAGTTTGTCTTCAGTCAGTCCCTGATACACCGTCCTGATGCTGTAAGCACTCACTAGAGCACCAAATGTGTGCTAATCCGCTGCTGAAAATAGTCTGTTTGAGTAACATTTGCTGAAAACTACAGTGTCCTGCTTTTTTAAGAAAGGATTTAGCCTTTAGAAAAAAATTTCATGACCCATTTATAAAGAATTTACGTCTTCAGTAGGAACCAATGAGCTTGGGGCTGAGAACCACAGACAGACACAGGGAAGTGGGAGTCAGACAAACACATTGTTGGTTTTGGTCTTTTCATTGTTGACATAGACTAACCAGTCTTCTCCTCTAGGGATGGGGATTGGAGTGTGATAAACTGTGTGTTTGTCTTAAAGAAGGATACAGCTAGTTGACATTTTGCCTGTTGAAGGTTGAATATTGAGAATATTAGTCGTTCACACTGTGTTTTAATATAGGAGGTTTGTCTGAAGCAAGTGGTCTTCATGCGCCTGGTGACTCCAGTTTAGTTTACTGCAATGGTTGTGTGCCTTAGAATTACTGTGATGCCTTAAGTGGCTCTCATGGACTGCTAGATAATTAGTTGTAGTCACTCTGCTCGGCTCCATCGATGAGAAATCTCTTTGAATAGCAATACATTTGTCAGATATCTGAGGTATCTTGAAGCAGATATCTGAAGTATCTTGAAGCAGTTCATTTTTTTTGCATAAGAATAAGAAAACTGGGGCGACCCTGGTTGCTCACCAGGTAGAGCTGACACAGATGTACCAAGACTGAGTCCTTGCTGCAGCGGCCATGGATTTGAGTCCGACCTATGGCCCTTTGCTGCATGTCATGCCCTCTCTCTCTCCTCCTTTCCTGTTCACCTTGAGCTGTCCTATCTAATAAAAACTGCCCCAAAATATATATATATTTTTAAAAAAAGAATAAGGAAACCATAAAAACAGACGACCCACACTGCAGTAATAGTCTTGTCATCTCAGTCCATTTAAGGAAGAGGCTGCGCCAGGAATTGACAGCAATCCAGCATGAATAAGAGAGACTAACTACCTCCTACTTACAGAGATCTGCAGGAAACAGACAAAACACTTTTTGAGCCTTCCCCATCAAAATCCTTGATGTTTTTATTTGTTCTGCAATTGCCGTGCATCTGCCTTCATTACAGTGTTTATTGCAGCAGTGACTTTACTCAGTGTGTCCATTAGCCAGGTTTCTAATGTAAGCACGCTAGCTTAAGTGTCAGAATTGTAAAAGACAACAGCACCAGACTTGATGTTGAGCGAGCGCTCAGAAGTGAGGAAAAAGAAGAAAGCCTTGCTGTAAGCCGGAATCACAGCCTATAATTACTGGGCTTTATTATTCACACTGATTGATCCCGGGCCTATGCAGCTGCAAATGCCAATGTCTTCATTTTATACAACAGAACTCGCATCAGTAGACCTCAGTTAGGTCCACACAACAGATGGAGCTGGTTGCTTTGTCTGTAACACTCTCTTCACTGTGTTTATATGTGGGAAAATCCGTCATCATCACCATAATCGCAAATATTTATCATTCTAGAGCAAATAATGACTTTCTTTTTGAACACTTATTCAACGTCTGGATGATTTATCAGAACATTAAGGTCAGACACATGCATCAGCTGGTGCGTCACTGTTTGATATTAGCTGATATATAATCAGAAATCTTAAATAATGATTTTGATACCAGCCTCAATAATCATCTGATTTAAATTGAGTTTTTAACTTAATATAATAAAACTTAACACCATATTCTTTATATGTCCACAGTGCATTTGCTGATGCATAAAACAAAAAAAAAGACCTACTTATATAGTGGCTTTGTTTGTTGATCAGTTACCTTGATTTTTTGCGAAAATCTATTAATGTACTATAGAAGATAAAGTGATCAATATTTTGTATCAACCGTGGTTTAAATTACGATGTGTAACGTGAGTCATTCGTAGTGATGAGCCAACGTGATGATTATCCAGTTTTGCAGTTCACAGCTAAAGAGATATTTCCTCATGATAATAAAGTGTTAATATGTCAGTGTTCCTCTGCCCATAAGTGGCAAAAAAATCATTTAATGCAGCTTTAAATAATTTCATCGTGCAAATGCCAACCAATCAGTTCAAAATCTAATTTCTCTAAACTGTATGTTAAATTATTTGCAAGCTGGGACAGAACGATCAACATCATGTGAAAAAATGCTGCTGGTCAAGTTTTACTTCCTCTTCTATTTAGATAAGAATAGACAGGGTTTACATGAAAGTGATAGCATATGAAACAACCTTGTAACAGGTGAATGGTAGTCATTGTTGATCTTTACCATCCTAATGCACTCCTCAACAACAGTGCTGATTGTTGGTTTACTGGGTTACTGTCTGCGATGTAGTTACAGGGCTGGAGTTATAAACAAACAAACATTTAAAGAGAGTTTTGCTAGCTGTGTTTTCAATACTTTATTTGACATTAGTTTCTAGAGCTAATTTTCTTTTTAATTAACTCATTACAATTTCATTATTTATCCTGCATATAACAAAGGAACTCCCTTAGAAGTCTGACATTTTGCCACTTTGTTGTGGGCCTTGTGTGCGTTGGAAATTCCATAATATATGCAGTTTTGATAGAATATCTGTTGGTAACTTTATTGCTCGACGTGTAAAAGCACAAGAGGATGAATTATCTGGTTGCAGATCAATATGGACCAGTGCCATCTGGAAAATATTGAATTGTTAGTGTGAATGAACCGACATGTTTTTTCAAAGGCTAACACAGATCTATGCTGCATAATTATGTGCATACACACGGACGTGGGCACACCACACACTTCATGCACAGACGCACACACATTCACACACGAATGTGTTGACACTTACAGAGCGGAATAACACGTAGGCTTAGCAAGGGTCTGATGGTGCTGTGTATATAGGCAGGAGAGTGCACTGGCCAGAGAAAATGGCTGTATTTGAATGTAACAACTACTGCTGAGTCGCAGCTGCTCGTGCTCACTGAACATACTTATTTCACCAGTGATACGCCCCTCAAATTTGGTTTATACAATACATGTATTTAACAGGATCCAAGAAAGATCTGGGGACAGATATTGAAGCGATGGAGATACAAGTATGCATTCATCAATTTCCACACAATAATCTGAATCTATTTAAGAGGCTGCTGGATTACTGTGTGCGTATACCCCCACATATGATTTACACAGACTTAAGAGTCAGCTGGGCTTAGTGGCAGAGAGACAGAGAGAAAAGATCACAGGCAGAGTTTTTGATGACATTATTTGGAGGTTTCAGGTATAATCTTTTCATTGTCACTGTAGTAAACTGTATAATCTAAGCAGATAAGTGTATGTGGATGATTCATATAAAAAAAATTTTACAAGCCCAACTAATATTGCTGCAAGAGTTACTCTCTTTATATATTGATACCCAAATTATACCACACAAATGGGATAATAGATGTGACCTACACAAAAGTGTCATAATAGGCTATTATTGCTGAAATGATATACAGTATATCACTGTGTGTAATGGCTGTGGCATTATTAGAGGACTTCACTACAAGACTTGGATGCAAGTGAGACTGTGTTTCCTCAACGTGATCATAATGACAAACATTTATGAGGAATGTATGTTAAAACGGTGTCTCTTCAATTCTTTATGGCAGACAGTTGGTCCAAAATAGCCTCGTTTTCATTTTTAATGACGATTTAAATTTAGAATGCCAGAGCCACGCATGAAAACACCACAGTTTAAAAACTGACAGAGTACAGACTAGAGTTGATAGAATATGATGCTTGATGTTGAAGCCCCTCACAAGTCCAGCTATTGCTGTTACCTGGTAAAGTTTTTGTGTTTTTCCACAAATACGAATGTTTTTCAGCTCTCCTGCCTCACTCAGTCTTGCCACTCAAATTTTGCCACAGCTATTTGATAAAGAGAGCACCCAGACGGGAACTGCAAAATGCTGTTATGTCAAAGGGGTTGACTACACTGGGACACAGAGAAGCTTTTGTCTTGTAGGTCTGACCCATCTTTTATTAATTCCTCTTCCATGTAAATGGTTCACCAAAAGAACATGTTTGGGTTCACTAATTCTTTTTTCTGCCCACTCTCTAATGGAAATGCAGTGTTTTATTGTGGTGTGATGACAGAAAATTATGGGGAAACTATATTCAAGGATGCTGTAACTGCATATGCACCTTTTGCCAGCTGAGCCACAAGGATGCTTCAGGTCTTTTTCTTGCCTGTTGATGTTTGATAAAACCCTATGAATTATGCTAATTCATTTTAAGCTAATTAAGAGGCCTTTGTCCCTGATCTTCATCATACTAGTGGAGTATCAGTGAGGACATTGGTAAATTCAATATGCACCTGTTCTTTTTTTTTCCTAAAATAGATTTCACAAATAAAAATCAATTGATTTTGAACCAGTGTGGCTCTAGGGATGGCAAATGTTGGTCTCTCAGTCAGTCCAGTTCTGTCCAGGCGATATTTCTCAACAACTCCAGGATGGTGCAAACATTCATGGTTCTCAGAAGATTAATACTAATATACAGACTTTAGTGATCCCCTCTTGGGGGACTCCCCACTTTGCTCATCCCCTGACTGTCCCTACAGCACCATTGTGAGGTCAAAATTTCCAGTGTTTT